GGAGAGCAAGGACTCAGGCATTCCGTAAGGGGAGTAGCTGAAGGTTTGAACCTTTCCCTTAGGTCATAGGTCCCACCTACTGTGCATTTGAATAGTAGGTTTCTCTCACCAAAGGGAATTTGGAAATTCTTGGATCAGGCAACATGCAAAAGAGAACAGGCAAAAAGAATTAAGAGCAACTGAACAGGGTGTTGTCACATCCTCTTTACCCAATAAAGGATGAGACAAAATCAGAATAAATCCAACCATAATATATTTTGAGTCAGGGACATATGAAGGGAAGTATCAGACCAAAGTGAGAGCCTAGGGGGATGAAGGGGTAGAGAAAAATGCATAAGGTTTGAGCTGAACAATCAGAACAGAAAGCAGGTTCAGCAAGGAAGCTATAAAGGACAAAAAGCCAAATCTTGCTTCTCATGCAAAACCCACTATTCAAATGTACAAAGAATGTAACCTACCACTTACCTCTCCATGAAAAGAGGGGCCAAGCAAACTTCAAAACAAAAAGGAACTTTAATTACAACAGAAAGTAGAGAATACTGGCTACAAAGCAGTGGTATGCTGGACACGATAAAGAACTAACATCTGTAGGTGACCTGAGCAATGGTTAGAACAAATGTTCAGAGTAAAGGTACAGAGAAACCAACTCCCCACAATCCTTCTTTCCTTTGAAGAGGAAGGGATGGGAAGAGCGACCTGAACACCAGACTCCACATCTGAGTTCTTCAAGGTCAGTAATTTGCTCACAGGTAACAGTAAGAAAGATTTTGTTTCATAAATTCTTATTAAAGCAGTAATGCCTCAACAGTCTAATAAAAAGGCATGTAAAAAGAGAATAACATTTTCTAGGAGAAAAACATTTTTCTATTATAAAAAAGTAAAAGGATGGAATACAAAATAATTATGACTTAGTAATGTGGAACACATTTAATCTCAAATGGTGAGGAGAGGTGTAATTTTAACAGATGATATTTCTTAAACTCAACTTCACACTTAGCATGCTTTTGGTAATGAGAAAAATGCTGATGTGCCTTTAAATTTAGAATAAAAGTTGACTATAGTCCTAGAGAAGCCGGAAGAGTAAGTAAAAACAAACCATATATTTCCTGTAACCTGAGAATATCCTCTGGAAGGCTAAGCACACTAGAAAAAAAGGTAGAAGAAAGAAAACCTGAAATAAATTACTCTGTAAACCACCAGCAGAAGTCACAGAGGTTGTAGAAAAGTTTACCTCCACCAAATTCAAAATTCGGTGTAAGTACATTCCAGGACAAGGGTCTGGAGTTTGATGAATAACCATACACCAAATAATTACTAGACTATGAGTCAGACTTCCAGGGTAAGAGGCTGGATCTGTTTTACTTTTCAGTATGTGAACATGAGTAAAGCTACAATTTCTCATCTAAAAATGGAGACAATATTACCTACAATCAAGAAGGACTAAGCACTCACCAATCCTGCTTTTATTTCCCAAGCACAAGGAAAAGTATATTTCGCAGCCTGCCATGCACTTTTGGTCTGAACCAGTCACAGGGCTCCAGACTATACAATGTGGGCAGAAATGACATATCTACTTCTAAGCCTGGCCCTAGAATCTCCTGAAAAGACCACAGCCCATTCTCTCTTGCCAGCTGGCACAGTTCAGTTCAGTTCAGTCATTCAGTCATGTCTGACTCTTTGCAACCCCATGGACTGCAGCACGCCAGGCCTCCCTGTCCATCACCAACTCCCAGAGTTTACTCAAACTCATGTCCATTGAGTCGGTGATGCCACGCAACCATCTCATCCTCTGTCGTCCCCTTCTCCTCTCGCCTTCAATCTTTCCCAGCATCAGGGTCTTTTCAACTGGCACAGCATCTAATAAAAAGGACTCCAAAGTAGCAGAAGGAACAGAGGAGCCACAGACAGAAGAAACAGCCTAGAATCCCTAAGTAACACTTGAATCATCATTTTGTGAAGGAGCTACACGGAGAGTTGCCCTACCCCTCTCATGTACCCTAATTTGACCTTGATTCCTGTCCTGTCTGTGACTGACAAACTTTTATTAAGTTCAGACACTAAGATTTCAGAGGTCATAAAATACCCCAATACATGTCTTCTTCCAAGTTCAGAGTGTAGAGATGAAAATGGAGTAACAGAAATAAAAATTTTACCAATACAAAATTTTTTAACATTGTAAAGGTAATATTAATGGAAATAAACCAGGCTAAAGATTATGCACTTTAAAAAAAAAACCTAGATATCCACAATATTAATTACAAAATAAAAGTGTTATTTAACCAAGAGCCAGAAAACTAGTCAATTTTTTAATATAAAAAATCAACAGGCTAATATATAAGCAAAAACTGCAAATTTCTTCAAGGTACTGACTTCAGGAAATTAGCAGGCTTACTTGTTAAGTCAACATAATAGAAACAGGTGCCACTTCACACCTTCCATTCTAAAAGAGACAGAAGTTGATGAGAGAGATGGACAGAAACTAATTAACATGCTAAAGAGAAGCCATAACTTTTAAGAAAAACATGAATACTTACAATCTAAATATATGATAAAATATTAAGTCAACAGATACCAAAACTAAAGTTTCTTCTGTCATACTTGTGATTAAACTATCGTGGTATCTACACCATCTATTCACTTAAATCTCTTCACTAGAGCCACTCCCAAACCATCCCCTACACTATTTATAATTTTGAAAGTTCTCTCGTAAGCTTCTCCCTTTGAATTTCTTCAAGCACTTTACAATCGACAAAGAACGCCCTCAGATTTTCTCCCCTTTCTCTTCCTTCAACTCAGCAACAACACATGGTTTAAAATGCAAACTGTCATTTCTGATCAATATTTTTACATGAGCAATTTAGAAGAGATTTTAGATTTTCTTAATATTAAGTGTCATTTCATGTCACAAAAGGTTTGTTAAAACAGTAATTATTCCAAAATGATAAAATCAATGTTCTCATTCAACAGAATTAGGCAACAACAGTCAGAATATAGTTTCATGACAAAATTTCAGATTTAATATTAAAGAAAAATATCAATAGATGATCTTAAGAATAAAGAGCAAAACAAAGAAAGAGGAAATGAAACTATAGCAGAAAAGAATCACTAGAAAATCCTGATTGGTATTCCTTGGAAACTGATTTGGAATTAGATGACAGCATTAATTAACACTAAAGTTAATCTATTTACAAAAACAAATCAAAATCACAAAATTTATCAACTTCATGTTTATTTTTGAAGGTTGAGCTCCTCTTCAAATTAGCAACATGTATACTTACATGACAGATAAATTGTCAGAAGAGCAGCAACTTTAAATATATTGTTCCAAAATTAACAAAGAGAATCAGTTTTCAATCTCTGGAAGTTTTCGTTTTATAGAAACAAATGGGCTGCAGATTACCTATTAGAAAATAGAACTGCCTAATGACTAGAAAGGGATAAGACTGCCAAGATCTTTAAAGCCAAAAGGGATAGGAAGGCTCCCTGGAGACTCACTGGAAACAAAACCAGAAATGTGCAATTCTCAATAGAAAATAAGCTACCTTAATATGTATTTTATCTAATTTATTCATTCAGATTCTATTTATTTAGAATTAATAATATTTGCCCAGCAGATATTCACCCTTTCATGATCTACAAAAAAGGGTTTTTGCTAAGCAAAACAAGTAAGCAAGACTACACAGGGCATAAACCTACAGAATTAAAAACTAGTCACTGATGATTTACTTTTTTTACTTATAAATATCTTTGATGAAGTTTTAACTTTACTAAAACTTTCGTCATTGTTTACTTTGCTAATAAAAATAGATATTTTTAAATCACTGTTCTCTCACACTTTCCATACACATGCGTGTGTGTGCATATCAGTGTTCAAAAAGCCTTTTTGGACAATCTAAATAGTATTTTCCTGTATTTAAACACTGATACAGAACAAGCATAAAGCATGAAAGAATATACTTAAAACTGAAAAATAAATTAAGCTTTGTGGATAGAATGGCCTATTGTTGGTCTTGCAGTATATGAAATCATTAGGCGTATAATAGCTGTCCATTGCTTTCTAACTTAAAGTGAAGGGAAAGTTGCTCAGTCGGGTCCGACTCTTTTCGACCCCATGAACTATACAGTCCGTGGAATTCTCCAGGCCAGAATACTGGAGTGGGTAGCCTTTCCCTTCTCCAGAGTTCTAACTTAAAAGGTCTAAACAATAGAAAACTGATATACCAATCAATAACAGAATCTACTTATTTATTAGAGACAAATAACTAGAGTAAAACTATAGTCATGGTACCAAACCTATAATTTACCTTTCATAATTACCAAGATTGTGGCATGTATTTCTGTATGTAGAGTTTTACTGCTTTTGCCTCATGATATCTCTATTTAACTGTATTTAACTTCTGTACTGTTTATTTTATTCTTTAACTTTCAGCAAGGTAACTTAGTCCCTCTCCATGAGGGGACAGTAGTAGTAAGCTTATAGTGCACTAAACAAAATTAAAAGCCTAAGAAATAACTTCACTGCCTCTTTGCTAAATTAAAATTTAAAATTATTTATTAACAGTAAAACAAAGAACTCCTAACTCTTATAATACTCTCAACTAAGCCACCAATAATAGGGCAGGTGCTTTGAGTCATTTTTTCCAACAATGGTGAAAATTTAAGCACTTCAATTTACAGTCTCTTCCTCTTGTTGACCAGCTTTTTTTTAAAGGTAACTAGAAAAGTCATGTGATAGTTCCAGTGGCCATGTTCAAAAAGCAATCGAGAAGGAAGAGACTAAATTCTTGACAATGATCATCCTATTATCTTTGTATTCAACAGATAAACTACTACGATCTCAAGTAAGAGTTTAAATAAGGAAGCTGGATTTTTCTTGTAATTTTCCTTTTTCAGTTTTTTTAGAAAACTGGAATTAGCACTTAACGTCTAGGAGGTTGATCAGGCTGGTAAACTAAACAGAGAGGAGAGTGCCAGTCAGAATCAGCCTACCCTTGCCTTACCTGCCATTACACAGCAGCCATCGAGCAAGAGAATAGTGAGGCAGAATCTTCTGCATGGCACTGGCCATCACCATGGTAACAACCAGCTGAATACCGATCACACCCTGTGTAAAGAAACAAACAGATGAGTTTAACAATGAATGAATTTAGATTTGAGGAAACCACTGAAAAGCTTTCTATATGTTTTGAAAATTATACTTTATGAGAAAAATGGGTTTACTATCAAAACACCTATTATTCTGCCATACAGGATCTCACCTCATAATCCTCTACAAGTTATCCAAGGGTCACATCCATATTAACAAAAGTTAAATTACAGAGCATACACATTCAAAATCTATTTCCAAGAAATCTTCTCCATTACCTGAGTGTACCAAAATGAAGTGGAAAATAGTGATTTTTTTCCCCCATCCTTCTCCAGATTTACTCTATTCAACGCATTTAGAACACCAGCCTGGCTAGCTCTAAAAGCAGTATGCCTATTTTTTAATTCTAGGGTGGCAGTGAATGACTCAAGAGCATTAACTATACTAAATGTGGATGGCGGAAAGTCACAGGAAAAAAAATTTTACTTCACCCTATCATCACGAACTTTCAATGGATGGGCTTTTAACAAGGTCCCAAAATGCCCAGTTTGTTCTCATCAATTCCTCTCTTGTTCTCTGCAATACCTAATTCAAACCTTCTCCCATCTCCCCACACCTCCAACCTCCCTCAAACTTCTTCCTTCTTTAAAAAAAAAAAAAATTATTGAAGTATAGTTGATTTACAAACACAGCAAAGTGATTCAGTTTCACACACATACATATACATGTACTTTACACACATATTCTTTCCCATTACAGGTTATTACAAGATATTGAATATAGTTCCCTCTGCTATACCATAGGACCTTGTTTTTAGCTGTTTTACATATAGCAATTTGCATCTGCTAATCCCAAACTCCTAATTTATCCACTCCCTCCAAAATTCTCTCAACTCAGTATAGGACAGCTTCCAGTTCGGAGAATAAAACAATCGCATCACATGAGAACTCTCATTTGACACCAACAAGCTCACAATCACTGGTATCTGCACCTGTCTTCCTCCACACCCTCTAGAAATATAATAACAGAGTACCTTCAGCGTAAAGCAACCTCAGTGCTTCAGAGCCCATCCTCTCACGGATTTTCAGGACCCTCACCCACTGAGCAGCTTCCCTCCTGTTGCTGTTCAGTTGCTAAGTCGTGTCCAGCTCTTTGCGACCCCACAGACTGCAGCACACAAGGCTCCTCTGTCCTTCACTATCTCCCGGAGCTTGTTCACTCACGTCCACAGAGTCAGGGATGCTATCTAACCATCACATCCTCTGCCCCCCTTCTCCTTTTGTCTTCAATCTTCCCCGGCATCAGGGTCCCTTCCAATGAGGAGGCTCTTCGCATCAGATCTCCTCTACTTAAAACCTTCCTACTAGTATTTTAATACCTTTCACCTTTATAAAAAAAATAACAATAATTTCCCCTTATTCTTTATTTTCTCTTCTATAAAATGAAGCTAATAATTCAGCTGACCTACTAATCAAGCTGTGGTTAATAATTGTGCTTGTTTCAGAGAATGCAGCCAATACTTTTTATTGTCATAATTATCATTCCTATTAAGGGACAAGTTTTTTTTTTTTTTAGTTTCAGGAAGAGAAGGCTTTTCAAAAAATAACCGTTACTTCTATAAGAAATAAATTTAGAAAACAAAATAAATGGAATCATGCCATAAAAAATAACATCAGTCTCCTAAGTGATAAAAGAACACTAAAAATTTTTTTGAAAAAATCATATTTCACTGATTTTAACAAACTGTTCAATCAACTGTACATCACTGTAACAAATGTACTATCATGATGTGGGATGCTCAAAGTGTGGGAGGTTGTGCACGTGGCCAGACGGGGGTATCCAACTCTCCACACTCTGATCCATTTTGCTGCAAACCTAAAAGTGCTCTAAAAACATGAGATTTTAAGAAAAATCAAATCAAATTTACTCATAGAGAAAGAGTGTAAGTAATGTTAAAATAATTGGAAAAGACATTTGTAACTCATATCATAAAGGGATAATTTGTTGTTGTTTAGACTCTTTTGCAACTCCCTGGACTGCAGCCCACCAGGCTCCTCTGTCCATGGGATTTCCCAAGCAGGAATATCAGAGCCGGTTGCCATTTCCTCCCCAGGGGATTTCCCTGACCCAGGGTCAAACCGGCGTTTCCTGCACTGGCAGGTGGATTCTTGACCGCTGAGCAACTTGGGAAGCCCAAAGATATTATTTACTTGTTAGGTATTATATAGCGTTCTTACAAGTCAATTAGTAAAAGAACAAATGCCTAATTTAAAAAGAACATATATGTACCGAGGTTCTTTAAAAAAGGGAGCAAAATGGCTCTTAAACAGGACTGTTTTAAAATGCCTTTGAAACCTGTCTCAATTCTGGTTTCACTGTGGATATTTTAATGCCTTAAATTCTACCAATTGGGTTAAGGTTCAGACCACTTTTATATTCTCCTAATGTCAAAGGTTTCTGAAGACATTTTTGTCTTTTTTCTTTCACATTTCCTATCACATGCTTTTACAATCTTATTTTCTATATAGTTTGTGATAGAAGTTCTGCAATCTCCATACAGTGAATGCCATTACAAAGAACACTTTCAGGCAGAGCAAGGCCAAGAAATATATTAGCAAGTATGTCAGAGGGTAGTCTATTTGAGATTACAGACGTAAAAGCAAAAGATAATTTTTTTAGTCAGGGAATCAGGGAAAGTTTCGTGGACAAAGTGAACCTCCATCTAGCCTTCAAAGAAATCTGATAGTATCATAGAATCTTCAAGGTCATCTAGTACAATCTCTCACAAACATATATAACAATTTATTAGAGTGTAAGCTCCGTAATAGCAGAAAGTGTATCTTAGTCATATCTAATAAATGTTACAGGTATTAAATGGCATTTCAGAAAGACTGATCTAGAAGATATATGTGTGTGTATATATATATATACACACACACACACACACACACACACGATGGACTGACTCATTGGAAAAGACCCTGATGCTGGGAGGGATTGGGGGCAGGAGAAGAAGGGGACGACAGAGGATGAGATCGCTAGATGGCATCACCGACTTGATGGACATGAGTTTGAGTAGACTCCGGGAGTTGGTAATGGACAGGGCGGCCTGGTGTGCTGAGATTCATGGGGTCGCAAAGAGTCGGACACGACTGAGTGACTGAACTGAACTGAACGATGGACTGTGATTAACTGGGGATAAAAGGCATCTTACCAAACTCTCTCCTCTTATTCCAAATCACTAAGCATAATGAGACACTGCTGATAAACGTAGGACTAAAGAATGTAAACCATGTGAAGGCAAAAACAAATAAAAATCAGCAAACCGGATTGACTAGCATAAAAGCAACTAGGCTTTGGCAATGGGCAATGATCCACACCAAAAAAGAAAACGATTTAAATTACAATGGTATCTCTGGCTGTAAGAAGAAAAATGTATTCTAAAGATATTGTTGAAGAATTCAGACAATGACAGTATATTGAAGCAAATGAGAAACTAAAGAGATCAACCTCAAAAAACATTCAAAAATGTAACTTCACTCCATTCACTTATCTTACTATGCCATTTCCATCTTTTAAAAATAAAGTTGAAAGTACTTTCTCAAAACCCATCTGTTTACTGTTAAATATATAAGTTTTCTTTCAACTTTCTAACAGAAGTCAATAAACCTTTCCGAGAATGAATCAGCTGTTAGGTAACTAACTGTATATGTGGACTGAAAGAAAATGTTGTTTTTTCCCCAATAGAAGAATCCACCTAATTTTTTTGAGAAACAGTTTTTAAATTATGTAGAAAATATGTCCCCAAACTTAATCCTTTTCATATTTATTTGGAAAAGAGCCCTTGGAATATATATTCAAAATGACAACTATTTTACAGAATTATATATTATCAACTTAGTATGTTGTTAGTACTAAACTTAGATCTACTTTTGAGACATCACCATACAACTGACAATCACAGTGCACATGCCAGGGATTAACATATTAAGATATAGTCAACTTATTAATTAAGAGACACAATTATGTGAAATTTAAAAACAAATTTTGATAATCTGCCTTCACTGACCAACTTAAGTGTCCATGTATATCTAAGTTTGTACAAAACAGAATTTTTGAAATGTTTAGTTTAAAAACCAAATTCCCTGAATATCTTTCATTATTTTTAATTAAAAGCTAATGCTTAAGTAAATTTAATCATAAACAAACATAAACTTCACACAAAAAAAACTATTAAACTGAGTAGATAACACACCGATACCATAAAGTCCATCATGGCTGAAGTTTCAAGCACACAACCTTATGGGTCATTGGCCAAGTGGCCTTAATGGTTTCATTAGGGCCTCAAAACAATAACTTGACCAAAGAGATGGCTTCTGTCCAGATTGGTTGCCCCTAGGCTCCAATTCTCTTGATAACTGGAACTGGGAAAAGTCATTTATGAAATAGCTCGTAAGCTCCCAAGAAGGGTGAAACATTGGAGCAACTTAGGTTTCAACCTTTCCACATCTATTAACCTGAGGCCATGAAGAGCAAGAAAAAGTTATTTGCCTTTAGTTTATAGAAGAATGATCATTTCAATTTTTGTTGGTAATCATTTCTGGGTAGGTTAAAAAAATTCTTACCAAGGAAAATTAAGCAATTCTCCAAGAAATAAAATATATCAAATAGCAGTATTTTATCTTGCTTGACAATACTTATAATAAAACTCCCCAAACTTACAGAAAAACATGTTGTAATTTTAAAATTCAAACTTGGAACAATATTATGTCAACCTCACTGGAGTTGACATTTTGTTTCATTTCACTAAACTAACTCTCCTGTTGACAAACAGACTGAAAGCAAAGTATACAGTTTACGATCAGAAGGCATATCAGCAACATACTTGAACTCAAACCACCCCAAATGGTTTTAATGATCACTCACCCTCCAGTAAATGAGAAGGGAAAAAAAAAGAAAGAGGATATTACCCAATGACCTTCCCATTTTTGGTTTTTTAACTTTGTACATATTTTAGT